CGAATCACGCAATTGCCAATGCGAGACATTTTCCACTATTTAAGTAAAGTCTTCGAATTTTACGTCTACAGCCCCCGTCAGCCATCGGCATATTGGACGACTGGAGTCTCAAACATAAATGTATCCCTTGGTCTCTCAAATACACTAAATACGTGCCTTGTAGTACGAAAACGAGTTACACTTAGCCATTACGGCGACTTGTGTTTTTCTGGCAGGATCACTGTGACCGCCGTTATCAACGAAATTTTATGCCGTTTTGTGTCAAGAGAAAGGACAGATTCCCCAACGGACCCCCGATACGTTGGACAGCTGAAGCTTAAAGATATAGAAGACTCTTTTAAAAGTCCTGTGAGATTCGGTTCTGCGGACCTGCGTAGATGAAATTCTTCTCACAGCTCTACAGATATCTTTCCGCAGCTCTTTTTGCTAATCCTAAATTACTAGATCAGGTAATTACAGATGAAAAATGTAACCTGTACATTCAGTAGACGCGAATAATTCAATTTCTAGAGCGTAGGCACTTTAAATGTAAAACTTTTATCAATTTGTTGCCCATCTTCAGGTCGATAATTTCTACTTGTACCCTTTGCACTTTTTGTTTTTATATATTATTCTCAATATCGGAACTTTTCGTTATTTTATAAAAAAAAAAAGTCTGTGTTCAAATAAAACGATTCACACGAAAATTTTTAGTTTTTTTCACGTATATCATCTTCGCATGCATAGACACACCTGTAAACCTTCTTCAAAAACCTCATGTCTACATGTTATCCTTCCCAACGCTGTAAAGGCAACTACATTGCGCACATAGGTACGTGCACTAGTTTTGTTTTTTGTGCAATTTCGGACAGAACAGAATTATGGCTCGATGTTTTTGCTTAATAGCGTCAATGATGCCGCACGTAGTTTGGTTCATTGACGATGCAGAATGAGTACGTCAAGATGTCGAATGCGATTTCATTAGAGACACATAACTCATAAAATTTGAGCTACAATAAAATTCGTGTATTTAAATAGTCAATTTCATTCTGGTACCAATCCCCAATTTAGAAATTTTATATATACTGCCATCCGTCTTTGAAGAGACACATGAGGGAATTTTCTGTGCGTCTACGGATAGACAGCGCCGTTCGAGGGCTATTTCTACAATAACGGTGTAGGAATGGCTGTACTTACCATTGAATGACTAAAAAATGAATATTATCCGTGTACTAGTTAGTCTTTGAGCCGAACACACAACGTCTCATTTGAGCAATAATAACCTAACTTCTTGGTAGATTTGTCTTCACAAGATGCTAAACTTAGATGTTGATCGCTTTACGGTTTGCTCTACAGATCACCAAATTGATACACAGAATATATTCGTGTCTTCCGAATCCGTTGTTATGACAGACCGGAACCAAGGCCATGCCAGGGATCTTGACGATAGTTACCTTTAGCGGCCGATTCGCCTTCTGTTTGTTAACTCCTTAATAATCAATGATTCTAAATAGTCGTGGTGCTTTTCGGGCTAGCAATAGCGCACAACGACGCTTACATGGACGACTTACACGGCGACAATTAACCGGCCTTCTATTGTTCCTTGTTTTGAGGGATGAGTAGATCACAGAATTGAATCAACGATCTTATCACGGGTCAGTTTGAACGAATGAATAAATTGGAGCTTTGAGTATCATCCAGGGACATCTTCTAGTGCGTTAGTGAACATAGGAAATGCGTTGAGCATTTAGATATCGTAAGGTACAAAGCTCTCCCCATTATCATTGGCTATTATCAAGATGTCACTTATTAGTTGGTTTGTTCGTCTAAGTGGCATCAAGCGTATTTAACGACTGATATGGGGTAACCAGTCATAAGCAGAGTTGCGCTAGGGAACCCTCGAGATTCTGACCAGCAGTTAGAGAAGCCACAGTGAATGCTGGAAATGAATCTGGAACAAGACGAATTTGCAACTCGGTGATCTATTCATTTACGACGATGCCGCCTTTGGTGGAAAAAACGGGACAACAGTCTGCGATCCGGCTTAAGGCTTGAGTTCGGTTGGTGACTAAAGAGACCAGGGTGTGAATGAAAGCCGTTTCTAGCTTGTGCCTTGCGAATTCCAGTCAAAATTGTTAATTATCTGCCTCTTAAGGCCTGCTAGGCTTAAGCTGAAACAATGAGTTCGTATATCTATGCTAGGGCATGGGAAAGCTATTAATAATAGAGTGCGAGAGGGCGGGAGAGGGAGATACAACCAAGGTTGGCTCGAGATATGTCAAATGAAGAGTTTGCATGTAAATGTCGTTTGCTATTTTGCCTGCAGGTTCCGGAAGTACGTAGCTATCAAAGCCGTTTGTAACCGAAGTAACCAATTAGAAGAATTCCTGTATACAAGTATGACCTATCTTGCCGAAATTGTGAAGATATAATATGACGCGTCCTGTTTTGCAAAACAAGCCAATCACAATAGAGTAGCAGCAAGATACCGAAGTGCTATCCAGCCTTATGCGCTGATAATAACAATTTTTAAATTGCTAAGATGTATAGTTTCAGTAATTAATGTCTATGTATCTGATATTCATGACAGCTTGCCGAAAAAGCCGCCAGCAAAAGTGGAAAAACAGTAACCTATTAGATATGACAGCGCGGTATTTCTGTGCTGGTATGAAACAGGCGCGTATTTCACAGGCCCCAGAAAATTTTGCTAGTGTCTCCAAAGCTTTATCCGGACCAATTGCTTGCGGCTGTTCGCTCGGACCGCAATACCAACGAAAGCTCGTTGCTAAAATCTCTATTTATGCTTCTGGCCAAGGCGGCGAAATTTCCCATCTCAGATTTGTTTCTACATCACAGCAGCCGAGCTGGAGCCAGCTGAGATTCCCATTAATTTTCTTAAATGGTCACTTTAACGCCATATCATTAAAAATGGTCGAAGACATGAAAAACCCAAGATTTTTTAATGCGCTACACTCGGCATAGCCATAACCTAACACAGTTATACGATCTTTTGACTTATGAAGCACTCTGCATACAATTCAAGTCGAGCGCATTTAAATTATCTGGACTTCAAACTGTCTCTCTAAGCCTCAATTTTACGAAAAATATTACCGACTTTTTTGTTTAGAGTAGATAGATTGCTAAAATTCGGATTATGCTCTCTTTCGCAGACTACTCTGAAAGATATTTGTGGGATTGATACAACCTTCTTGGCTTTCACAATCGTGCAGTAACAATTTATATAAAACCACTAAACGGTTCCATTTTCTGTACTCTAGTGCTCACACGGCTTTTTTTCTCGTTTTTTTTTTGGCTTTCGCTTTTTCATGCCTTTATCATAGCATGAGTTGGGCAAGACCGGATCTTCTTAGCAGCCGATCTTTATTTTTTAATGGCGCGTATGCATACGCAAACTCCGAGCCTCGGGACGCTCACGTAAAATGCCTATTGGATAGTTCGCTCCAGAAGCATCTATCACAACGGGGAGTCACTCGCTCACAGATAGTTCGAGCATTTTTTTGATACACGATCTGTATACTGGATATGCCGTTGCTATTTCCGTGAAGAATGCCCTGAAGAAAAAGATATGTTCGTGTTGTTACACGCACATGGTAACTGTTGCAATTCATAAAATGATAGTTTCGGTCTCTCTCTGTAGTGGCACAAAAAGCTTTGCGCCGTCATCGCCTTTTCTCCTGTTCCTGTGTACTAACAACGGGTGTAGCAAAAAGTTATGGCTTAAACAATGTACTACTCATACGACAAAACGGGACCGATCAGTGACCGTGTTCGATGCACGTTTTATGTTACATGAAATTCGAATTTTTGGGGAGAAAATTTACATAAAGCCGCCAGCGACTAATACTATTGTTTAGGTGGTTCGTTTCCAGCTGATGAAATAAGTTAGTAAATTGGGATAAATAATTTAGAAAACTAGAGGTTTTAATTGCTATGAAAGTTACAAATACAGTTATCTACACTAAATTGTCTACCAAACATGGTTCTTCCTCGTAGACAAATGTTAGCTTGACTCGGGCAGAGTACCAGATATACTATTACGGCATCAGCTACTATTATACTAACAGCCACAATTGATACTAACGCAAAAACGATAGCATCGTTTTGATTTCATCTCATTTTTTGGTTTAGTCTCCAGTTAAGACCAGCCAATGATATTCCCTTGTCAGCCTGCCGTAGGCCACGCTGACTCAGGGTTCGGACAGGATAATTCGCCGATGACGCACGTCACTCGACATTGCTATGACTATGGATAATCGTGGGAGAAAAAATAGCTAAATAACAACTTTTTCGATAATCCGGATGAGGTGGGCGACCCTGAGGTAGGCAGGAGGAGTAGCTCATGGTTAGCCATTGCAGTGACGATCATTAGCGGCCAAACTAGCGTCAAGTACAATCAACCTTTGGCGCACTCACCATTGTTTTTCGATTATGAAACATGGTTCGCTGAGTAACAAAGTATGAATAATAGTAGATTATAGCCAGAGAGTGAGCGATTTTCGTACTATAAAAAAGATAGCTTCTTCGATACGACACGGTGGAGCGCTGCAGGTCCCGGCGGTTGAGTTTACGCCCGCATCTGTAGATGGCGCCTCTGTAGAATATGGCGAACCGACCGTATTTGCTTATGTCTTCATGCGACCAACGCAGTCTAACCGGCTAGCTGTCAGTGAACGAGATTATAGCATGTAGCTGATATTTGAAGTAATGTTGAAAGCCAGCGATAATTCACATGATAAAATTTTAAACTCGTATAACACTTATTCCTATAATAACCAAACTAATTAAAATGATTCGTGTCCTAGGTAGCAATATATACATA